GTCCATATACCCCTTCTCGTTGACGCGGACGATGGCATCTCACGGGAAGGCCTCCTTCGGCATCGTTTTCCGCTTGAAGATGATGAAGGGGGGCAATTTTCTGCCATAATCAGTGCAGGAAAGCACAACGGTGAAGCGCAAATGCTCGCTTACGGTCGACAAAAGCTTCACCTCTTTTGCCCCGTGTTCACAAACAGTCATGGACGACGGCATGTCGAACCACACCGGCGTTTCGTCGAGGTTGCCAATCTGGCCTAGCATGTAGCCATGCTGCCGCCGGAAGCTGTTCACGTGGAGTTGAAACTCTATCAATTTATCCTCGTACATCTCCGGCAGCTTCTAACATATCGACGTTCTGTCGAAAGGCAAATGCGGCGCATGAAGCGACGGACCCAATAAATGGATCTCTTGAAGTCTTTCTTTGACAGACCGGCTTCACGGGCGAGCTCGATGGCTTTTGATCGAATGAGCTCCGCCTTCACTGGCAGGGATCTGGCATGGTACTCGCCGATGAAATTCGCCTCTTTGTCTTCGAGTTCCGGGTGCACAGCTCGGCGACCGCGAAACCCGTTACACACTGACAATTTGGATTTTTGGTCACGCCAGTACCTGACGCTTTTCTCGGACACTCCAAACTGCCGCTGTGCCGCCATGTTGCCATTCGCTTCCGCAAATTCAATAACTTGTCTTTTAAACGCAGTGGTGAACTGGCACCGCATCTCGGTATTCATGGCTAGTCGCACAGTAACGTCGACACTCGCTACGAACACTAAATGAACAAGAAAAGAAAAATGGCGTCGGCAGAGAACGCGTCGGCCCAATGAGGCGATGTCGATGCTGATGTCCACAAGGCACGTGACACCTCCTGCTACCAGAAGATCACTTGGTTTATGCCAAGGGCCGGTATATAGGTCGAGGGGTGACTTCTTATTGACATTTTTTGGAAAAAATCTCTACCTATATTCCGCACTATACGGTAGGTATCCGGCCGGCACTTGATGCGTTTCGTACCAGCCCTGTTCAAAGCCTTTAGGCAGAGTCAAATCAGTGGCCGCTGGACTATCAGTGCACATATTTAGGTGTCGCCTATGCAGTTAAAATCATTTCCCTGAAGCAGCACCCATGCAAAGCACTTGTGAATGATCTGTCTACTGCTCAGTTATACGCAAACCGTCCTATCACCACACCATTTCTATTGGCAATAAGACCTGCAGTAAAAAAACTTGGCATTTTTTTAGATGATTTGCAGCAAAGTGACTACGCTTAACATAGTCCTCCCTGGCAGCTGTGTCCAGTCACTTGTGACTGGTTCTTCAAAGACCGCAAAACGAAAAATTGTTCAAGTGCGGTAATTGAGCAACATTTCTTGGCCCTTGAACACAAATTTTGTTCAGCTGCATTCTTCTCTGATGGCTCAAAGTCTCAAACATCTGTATCCTGTGCAGCCTACGTACAAAACTTTTTTTGACACTAGAACCATGCATACACATACCAGCATTTTTACAGCATAAGCCTGTGGTACCTGCTTATTATACAACACATCGTACAACACCAGATACCAAAGGCTATAGTGTACACTGATTCTTTAAGTGTTGGCACGGCGTTCTTGTGGCAAGTACAGCAGGAACCCCGCTTTAAACAAGCTCGTAAATGAAATCTATGAAGCCTATAATCTAAAGCTTTCTATTGTTATTTGCTGAGTGCCAGGTCATTCTTGAATTGCAGGGAATGAAATAGTAGATACCGAGAAGCCGCTGATCGGCAAGCCATAGATATAATCACTGTCTTGGGTGTGGATATAAAACCTGTTGTACGTAGAGTGTTATGCAACTACTGGCAAGATGAATGGGACAAACAGATCGACATCAAACTCCACCTAGTAAAACCCCAACTAAGGAAAGTTGTCCCACAAAAACTCAACAGATTCACTGAAGGCACTCTAACACGACTCAGAATAGGCCATACTTATGCCACACACAAACACCTTTTGACAGGCACTGATCCACCTACATGTATATATTGTGGAGAGAGTCTAACTGTTTTGCATGTTCTCATTCAATTCCCTGTGCTTCATGAAGCGCGACTGACTCATTTGAGGGAGCTCTACCAGTATCATATTCCACTTCATTTCGCACTATTTTTATCACTCGATGCAATGTTTGACTTCAAGAGACTTCATCATTATCTTGGGAAAGCCATATTTTTAGCAATGATATTCCATCCTAGCCACCAGGCTTGGCCTCAAGTGTGAGGTACTGCCTGGTGCAAAAAACACGCGTCTTAGCCTTCGCAGTTCTTGCTCAGGCAAGGACTTCTGCCGTGAGTGTCTCAGACTTTGCCGACTCATTTATTATAACAGACTCCAGCCAACAAAATGAAGGCCTTTAACAAAGCGGTGTTCCTTTTAAATGCACTGTGTTTTAAATATTTCATAGATATTCCTTACACATCATTTGTTTTAATTTTTAGACTAATAACCTGAAATGAAACAACACTTGCACTGGTGCTCTTTGGCCTTAGATGCCCTTGCGCCAATAAAACTTAATATAATAATAACAACCCCTTCAGCCGCAAATTATGGTCCACTGTCTATGAATGTGTCAAATTTGTAAGGCATGATTCCAAGGCACTCAGTATTACATTCCGAGAAAGAAAATGAAGGAATGTTTTGTTTTGTGAGAGTGACCCACCGCGGTGGTCTAGTGGCTAATGTACTCTGCTGCTGACTTTCAGGTCACGGGATCAAATCGCGTCTGCGGCGGCTGCATTTCCGATGGAGGGGGAAATGCTGTAGGCCTGTGTGCTCAGATTTGGGTGCAAGTTAAAGAATTCCAGGTGGTCGAAATTTCCAGAGCCTTTCACTACGGCGTCTCTCATAATCATATGGTGGTTCTGGGATGTTGAACCCCACATATCAATCAATCAATCAATGCTTAGAAAAGCAAAGATTGAGACAGGATGTCTTCATAGAATGAAAATTTTATTTTCCTGTCAGCTCATGAACTTCTGCACACGCCCTGATCACATGCGTACGCAGGGTCATTACTTATAAAAGCTCTATCCAGAGTAATTTCAGCTGGCCAAAGAGCTCATTTCCAAGATTCTGATATTTTCACGTTCTCGGTCGTTGAAAAGGAAACTTTTCCTGGTTGGCGCGATGCAGCTATTTTCACTCAACTCAGCATGCGTTATGCATGTGTGAGGAAGCTCGAAAACAACTGTTAATTTGTGCAGAACAAATCGCGAAATATCGCGATGAGGCCATGCAATCCCGCCAGCGCAACAAAACAATTTTTTGACCACGGCCGCCGAATCTTCAAACACCGCCGCGTGCACCGATCCAGGCGGCCATGCTTTGACTTCTGCACGCGCAGGCACTCTTTCCAAGTTTTTCTACGTGCGAGTTTCGCGAACTTTTCAAGCAAGCTACCCAACCTGCCTCCTTCCTGTGTGTTTTGGCTTTCAAGGTAGCCCTTCCGCCGCATGCTCCCTTCTCTTTATCGCAACTCCTTACCCTTCTCTCGCAAGTCTGCTCTCCTCTCTTGATCACAACTCCTTCGCCCATTTTCTCCGCTCCACGACGCCCGCTACGCTGGCTCGAATTAGTTTCGTTTTCTGACTGGAAACGAGCCCAGAGCTGTTGCACGCGTTCTGGCATGTGTGTTGTGTGTGCGCTTCCTGCTCGCTTTTGGTGTGCATGTGTGGTCATGATGGCGAACGGGAGGACTAGCACGCTTTTTACTGCCGCTCAACAAAACATCGAAAGTGTGACTGCTTGGCTTGAGCGTAATTCGTGCGTTAGGTGCCGCGTTTCGGAGCGCTTGCTCATAGCTGTTGACCACCTGGCAACCACCTGGCAGCCAATTTGTTGCTTCGGGCGTCCCGTATTCAGCTGTTGAAATGGTGAATATTTCGTGGGCGGCGGTGATGGCTACATGCGCGCCAAACTGTTTTCGCGAGGCCGGCTTCGTCGACGTCGAGCTTGATGTCGAGCGTGAAGCTTCCGAACAGGACCACTGCGGCGGCGATTTGTGGCAGCGCGTCGTCGACCCTGACCTGGGAGAGCGGGTGGGACATCTGTTGCGATAGTTTAATTATGCCCGATGATGATGCAGACACTGCGAAACCGTGCATGGATTGGAGCATTATGAATGAAGTACAGGGCGAGAGCGATTTGGGGGAATCGGATTGTGAGAACGAAGAAACTTTGGAGCCAGTGCCTCATGCAGCTTATGCCACAGGCCTCGGCGAATGAGCACCCTGTCATTTTAAATGAACTCGAGACCACCCTTATTGCTTCTGCTATTCGAAACACGTGCATCGCGGACTTTTTAGGGCAAAAAAAGTTTGTTTTTGCTCTCAACTTTTTTTTAAATCTGTGTTTTATTTACTACGAACTTCGGGATACAGCGAACGGATGCCACGTCACGCTCAGGTTCGTTATAAGCAGGCCTGACTGTACATGGATTTGCCTCCTAATCTTCGTACTTTACGTACCGTTTGGCTTTGCATGGCTTGAAGCTGCTTTGTCACGAAACAGCCGTCTGCAAATATTTGGTTGTTGCACTTCACTACTTTAATCTTTTAGGCTCATCATTTAAAATCCGGTAACGAAGTTCGAAACAGTTTGTTCTTAAAAGAACATTTGTTCTTTTAAGCCCACGACACAGCACAAGGTTGTGTCGTGGGCTTATTCCGGCGGTCTGTACCCGTTTTTTGTGCAAGGCCGGCTGCCACTGCCCCTATTTAGTTTTCAGATTATACTACGCCCGAATAATACGACGCTTTTGTGTGGTCCCCTGAAAGACGTATAATCGGGGTTCCGCTGTACAATATATTGTACATTAAATTCATATGCATGCACTTCTGAATTATGGCAGTGATAGGGATGTTATAGTCAAGCCTTATGAAAAGAGAATTGCCATATGCTGCTGTTCAAGCTGCACTTGCTGTGTGTCATGCTTACGAATTATAGCAATATTTTATAATTTTTTCTTCAGCTTGCAGATGCGGCTGTCACCAAATATTACAATGCCAACGGTGAAGTGATCGAGGAAGATGGTAAGTTCTGTTATTATCTATCTTTCGATCATTGCAAAGCAGCACATATTCAGCCAAATGCATTTGTATAGTACAACCTGGTTAATACATAAATATCATTAACTAGGATTCTAGCTATGCTCTGGATGTTCTATGCTGTAGTCGTCCAGTATAGATCTGTAAAAAAGAGAAAACTCCACCAAAATTTATTTTAAGAAACTTTCCAAGCCTGTCTTCAGGGGTGAGAAAACCCAAGATGTGCAGCACTTATGTGCGCCTTCTTGTCGTGCATGCAAGGTTTGCCATGCCTCATCACAAAGTGTGGCAGTAGAGTGCATCCTCATGGTGCAGTTATGTTTCCCGCTGTCTGCTGAACGTGGTAGGGTTCGAGGAGAAGCCATCAGCAAAGGTTCCTTTTTCTAGGAGCAACCAGCAAAGGTTCCTTTCTTTTTCTAAGATCTGATGTGGTCAAATAACTCGCAGTATTCTGCCTCTGCGCTCTGTTCGCTGTTGCATTCTTTCGTGGAAGCGCTTGGTTCCACCAACGTAGGAAGCGGGGCAGTTGGCACAGGATCCAGTACACAACACCTTGCGCTTTTTACACAGGTGCATAGTCTTTTGGCCGCGAGGTGAAACTCCCAATGGTGGTGGATAGCTTGTGGGCAATGTCGACCCCTGCCTTTCTCAGTGTTTACAGCAGTCAACTGCCGATTTTTCGGACATCCATATTTTCGGACATGCCCAATAATTCGGACATCTTCGCGGCACCACCACGAGCCCCCATAGAATCAATGTATAAGGAAGTCTGAAATTTCGACGCTCGAACCCCCCGGAGTCCAATTTTCCGCACTTTTTGACACGACGGAAGGTCGGAAACCACCACTGACCTCCGTTGGAAACCACCACAACTGCGTCACACGCGATTATAATCGCATAAATGAGCGCGCCGGTCTGCTGTGGCGGCATCTGTTGCTTGGACTCGTTGATCGCTAGTGGAGAAACACACACGGCCTCCGAGATTCCTAACACTGGCCGTGTTTATCGTGCAAGGGTGCTTCGCTGACAATCGAAACTATCCACCCGGAAATTTTTTGGCGCCAATAAAGTTTCTTTCGCTTTAGCGCTTGTGCTTGTGCGTGCCACTCTGGCTTCCGGCGCAGTGCTTTTGCGAAGCGTTTCACCACTTCGAACTAGAACTAACCGTCGCACACCGATTTGGTCTGGCCACGCTGGCTATCTTGAATGTTTACCAGCGCCACCTCCGGAGTACCCGAGGCACTGTCGCCTGTCGTCGCGCTGTTTTTTTTTACGCAGCCCACATGGTGTTTGGCTAGCCTAGTGCATGGTTGTGCAATCGTGTGAAGTGTGCTCTGCAACGCTAAGCCTAGGTGCTCCGACGCTCGTCAGCCAACTCCTTTGTTCACATCGTGAGGATTTTGCTTGCCTGCAATGGCCCCCATTCCGCCTTCGTCGTCCTCGCCGATGCCATCGAAGCGCGGAAAACAGTACCGTTGGTTAACGATGGAGAAGAAAGCCGCTATTATTAAGTTAGTGAAGAGTGGCCAATCTCAGGCTGACGTGAGCGAGAAGTATGGCATTTCCAAGCAAACAGTTTCTGATTTCCCGAGGAACAAAGACAAGATCTTGAAAGTAGCTGAAAAACTGTCTGGTGCCCAAAAGATGAAGGCAAGCCAAGGTGTTCATCCAAAGCTTGAGGGCGCTCTTGTCGTGTGGCTTAATTCAATGATTCCCTAGCGGTTGCCAGTCTCGGGCTGCATCTTCAAACAAAAAGCGGAAACTCTCGTGCTTCGAATGGACATCATGGATTTTAAGTTCAGTGATGGGTGGCTGAGAAACTTTAAGCATCGCAATGACCTCAAGTGCAAGAAGACGTGTGGCGAAAGCGGCGCCGTCGACAGTGCAGTTATTGCGCAGTACCGTAGTGGAAAATTCCAGTCTTTGTTGCAGCAGTTCTCTGTTGACAATATTTTCAACTGCGACGAAACTGGCTTGTTTTACAAGCTGCTGCCGGAAAGAACACTCGCTTTTGCTGGTGACGCATGCCATGGTGACAAGCATGGCAAAGAACGGCTGACCGTTTTTGTCGGCAGCAACATGTCTGGCAGCGAGAAACTTCTTTTGTTAGTAATCGAGAAGACCAAGAGCTCGAGGTATTTTAAAGGGGCAACGCTGCCAGTGTTTTATATGAAGCCAACAAAACGGCATGGGTAACACAGCAGTTGTTTGAGAGTTACGTCCGCAGGTTGGACAGGAAGTTTGAACAACAGAACAGGCGTGTTCTACTCTTCCTTGACAATTGCGCTGCTCATGGTCGCATCAGTAACTTGAAGACTATCCAGCTGGAATTCATGCCGCCAAACACGACTGCGATACTCCAAGTGATGGACCAAGGCGTTATCCGTAATCTGAAACTTTTGTACTGTTCACGTATACTCAACCGCATGGTGCTGTGCTCGGAAAAAAGGGAAAGCCTACAGCGTTGACCTTCGGTCTGCTGTCGGAATGCTTGCGGACGCATGGAAGGCAGTAACGCAAGACACGCTTTGCAACTGCTTTCGCCACGCGGGCTTAGTACTTGACACAGAGGCAGCAGACTTGCCTGAAGAAAGCGACAGCGCGACTGACTTGTGCCCTCTCATGGACGATATTATCAACAACCTCCGCTCTGCTGGTGCTTCCATGCCCACGGAAATAACTTTTGAGTGGTTCATCAACGCTGACAACAAGCTCGACTTCTGCGCAGAGCTAACCAACGACGAAATAGTCAGTCAGGTTATGGCGGATTCAGACGACTCCGATGTCGAAAAAGAGGAACCAACGCCTGCGCCACCTACGACCGCCGAATTGATGCGAGCATTGATGACGCTATCATCGATGTACAGTGATGACATGACCCTTGCTCAGATCGAGGCGAATGCATGCCTACCAAGTTTTACGATTTTATCGTAAAGTGCTCGATTTTCAGCACATTTTTACGAGTATCGTAATGACAACTATATCTTTACGATTTTTGCATGTTTCGGTCCGAAAATTTCGCAAACTAAATGCGCTGCTTCAGACAGGCATCTGCACCAGCTAAATCTGGCCTTTTTTTTTTTTTTTCGCTGGGTTATGCAGGCAACACTGTATTGGCTTATATCCAGAGTCAAAGCCAAAAGGCATTGACTTCGCGGATGGCAGAAATGTGCTCGACTTTCTTTGTTACCATGCGCGCTGCGGGAGGTTCCTTGCACATGTTTTTGTGGAGTGGTAGCGTGTGATTCAGTCCTAGCAGCTCACGAGATGCCTGAGAAGAAATACTTTCAAGTTTTTATTCCCAGCTATTCGACTGACTTTCCATTTATTAAGAGGTCACGTAAAGGTGAGCGGTACGCATTTTGTAGTTTGTGCTGCTGTGATGTGAACATTTCGCACGCTGGTCGCCGGTATATTCTGCTAAAAACACAAAGACTCGGCGAAACTTGTGGACTCTGACAGGAAACTTGGAGGGTACTTTAACAGCAAAGCAGATCTCGATACTACAACTCGAGCGGAGTGCCTTTTTACTGCATTCCTGATTGAACACAACGTGCCGTTCACAGCTGCTGATCACGCTGGAGACCTTTTTCGAAAAATGTTTCCGGACTCGAAGGAAGCTAAGAACTACGCCTGCGCCCGTACGAAGACTACGGCGATTGTGAAGGAAATGGTCAACAAAGCTATCGACGAAATGATAAGTCACTTGCAGCATGCTTTGTTCTCTGTCGCCACAGACAGGAGCAATGACGCCGGCAACGATGCAAAACAGTATTCAATCGTGGTGACGTTCTGTGATAGTACTGTTCGCACTGCCTTGCTCGCAATGCCTGCCCTCAAAGGTAACTCCCACGGGACGAAACATCGGTGAGCTTGTTGTAGACACGCTAACGAGCAAAAAGATACCGCTCCAGAACTGCATCGGCTTGGCGTGTGATAACGCGCCAGTCATGATTGGATTGAAAAACGGAGTGACTGCTGTGCTGAAAGAAAGCCATGAGAACATTGCCACCATCGACTGCTGTTCCCATTTGATCAATCTGGTGGCACAGAAAGGCTCAGCATGCCTTCCACTGAATGTGGATGAGGTGCTGGTCGACATTTTCTACTACCTCGAGAAAAGCTCAAAAAGGAAGGACAAGCTGAAAGCTTTTCAGTCTCTTCACGATGTAGAGGCCAAAAAAAATTTTAAGCATGTGAGCACCAGGTGGCTCTCTCTCAGAAGGAGCCTGAAACGGCTTGTGAACCAGTGGCAGCCACTGCTTAGTTTCTTCCATAGTGAAATAAGGCCCTTTGGGCAGGTTTCCAAGTTTCCCAGCTAGCCATGTAACCTTCGCACTGACTTTCAGAAGCATGCAAAGGAAGCAGAGAGCAGTCATCAAAGCAAAAGAGCAAGTCTGGACACAAATGTCCCCGTGTCGGATACAGCTCCCAAGCGAACCCAAAACCGTCCAGGAAAGGTCCTAAACTAAGATCTATTCCTGTTTCTTTCATCAGATGCAAATAGAGCATACTGTGACTTCTTGCTGTCTGTAATCCCAGAGTTTGAAAAGGTGAATGTGTTCCTGCAGTCTAAAGCACCTCAAGTGCACTTGCTGCGTGAAGTGCTTAATAACTTGCTAAGAGAGATCATGTTGCGTTTTGCAAAACCTTCAGTGATCAAAAAAGCTGATGTGTTGGCTGATGTTGACTACAAATCTTCTGTCAGCCAAAGAGATAATGAAGATATTGTAATTGGTAGTCGGACCACACAGACCTTGGAAGGCCTAAAAAAGAAGCAAAGGAAGAGTTTTTTACACATATAAGAAGGTTCTTCGTTGCAGCAACGGAGTACATGATCCTCAAATTTCCACTGAAGTGTGGGCTGCTGAAGAGTGCAGAAGTAGCAAGGCTTGCGTCCATTGAACACGCCAAGTTTTCTGACGTCAAGTACTTAATCAACCGCTTCCCAGTGCTGCTATCACTTCAAGAGGGGCAAGATGTGA